ATCCAGCTCCCAGTGGGAAGACCTCTCCTCCAAGAGAGTATAGCAATCCAAAGAGCAGTATAGCAAGTGATTATAGCAGGTAAGCTTTCCCCCACAGACATTAGTCGAGACTGAATGCTGGGAGTGAACTGGTTTATTGGAGGCCACACACAGCATTTTATGCTAAAGCCCCTGCAAGGGGTTTTCCAATACTAGAATACAGGGAAATCCCATGATCCTTTGTGTCTGAGAGATAATTATCTGAGAAGCAAACATATAATTAAATTGTCTCTTGGGTACAAAAACATACAATTTATAAACATCTCAAAAGTACCCCCAAAATCCATACAAACCCCACATTTTTGGAGAGCCCTGATCTGGGTGACCAACATATCCAAAAATCACCGAGATCGGTTCAGTGGTTCGGTTCTTCCATGGAAGTCAATTATTTCACCGACCGCACACATGGTCCTATGCCCAAAACTGTCCCATGAAATCAGTGCCAACGGTCGGTCTCTTTCGAGAGTATAAAAGTGCATAAAATACCGAACTGAATCCATAGTTAACATGTGTAGCTTATTCACCTTGTTCGTGGGAACGTTTCCACCAAACAGTGCCCTTCTAAGTTATATAGAACAGAACGCAGGCAAAGATCGAAGTCCGGCGGTGTTCGAGAGTTTCAGTGTCCGATTTCAGTTCCATGAACTTGCAGCTGCAACCCCTGTATGTACTGAGAAAGGTTAAGGGGGTAACGGGTCTGCTTAGGTAAGAGAAGAGCAAGAGTAGTTAGTTGGCTAGTTAATATGGTTGGTTATCTGTTGGTAATATGTTGGTGGGTTTCGAGCTCGTTGGTAGCTCAGAACCCAGGGGTGTAGGGGTGTCAAGGTATACCCCTACCAGGATTGTGTGGAAAATGTTGGAACTTGTTTATGTTACATTTACGTGATTGTTATACTATGTTATTTTATGTCATGGGTCATTGCCTGCTTTGATATGTAGGGAAGTGATAATGTTTGATGGGTGAGGGTTTGGGGGTGGGTTAATGACTTTACAAGTTGTTCTTATTCATATGTTATTGTGATTATTATCATTATTATTTTTATATTACTATTAAAGCTATGGACATATTGACCCATACCTAAGAGTGTCTGTCTTTTAGTGGGGGTGGGTTTGGTAAAAGGTAGTAGACAGCTTCTCCTGCCCATACGGCGACAATGCACCTGTCATGATAAAGATGATGCAGTGATACCAAATGTACAACGTCATGGAATCTACTTAACCTAATACTACTGGCACATGGAACCCAGTTTACCTAACACTCTTCACACAATAACCAACTACCATTAACACACAGAACCTACCTGATCTAACATGTTTGATACATAGAATACAAATGACTCACTACCTGTGGCACATGGACCCACCTGGCTATACTGCTGACACATGGAAGTGGAACCCCTTGATTTAACGTGCTTGACATTTGGAATACAAATTATCCACTACCAGGGACTCCAACTTGTCTAGTAACCTAGCTTCATTAAATAACTAACAACTTGTGACTCCTGTAATCAACCTAAATGAATCATATTGACACGAGGGACACAAATGACCAAATACCAAAGACCTAACCAACCTGATGGTAGAACACAGAAAACAATTATGGCAAAATGTCAAGGCTTTAGAGAACCAAGCTGACCTCGTGACGGGCAAATAGGACTATGAGCTAGTCTTCCGAGTTCCTGTGAATTAAAATAACCTATTAGCAGAGGCCAGATTTAAAGAACCAGTGGACAGTAGCACCTGGACTCCCACTGTTGCGGTAATTATTCCTCTCGATACTTAAGCAAACTAGCAACAAGCAGCTATAGCTGTCACCGTTAGTGGAAATGGAAAATCATCTTGTAGGCAACAGAATGCGAGATACATTGTACCTTGTACAGCATCTCGAGGGAAATACATCTCAGCAAGTTGGCAAACATTGATTTACAGATAACTTAATTGCATATTAAATTACTGCAGCAAGCATGTTTCGCAAGGCATTTTACAAGGAATGGGATTTAACAATAACTAAAGGGATTTGGGCTTATTCTTTCAACGTTGCCGCTCAGGTCATTTATCAAAATGCCAGGTGCAAAGTGCACAGTAAAATCACGACATATAAAGCCGTGATTGTCTAGCACGACCTGACCCACCGAGATAATTGGGCTCAGTCTTCTACAATTGTGGCAAATTGCTGCAAATTATTTAACCTGTCAGCTACTGAGGGAGAGGCCACAGTCTAATAGTCTGTCCACCAGAAGATAATTGGTATTATTGGGAAAGTCCCGGCTTTCCAGCGGTGAGATTTTACTTGGCACTGCTGACATAGCAAATAGATTGTTTATTTTGGGAAAATCAGCCACGGGCATATCAGGTCGTGTTTCAGGAAAGGTGGAGAGAATGGCATTGATACCACTATAAGCAGATGCCAAGCAGCCTTGGGAGAGTTATAGTATAGTTTTAAGTGTGCAAATGGAAGACTCCAGTTCTGGGCACTGATCTGCTCCAAAGCAACTACTTCTCTCAAATGCAACTACCAGATCTGTACGTGCCAATGTCTGGATATTTCCAAGGCAATTATGACTTTGCTCCACAGAAATTCCTCCTTCTCTTTTCATTCGTTCCTGCGTCTTTCCACGCCAAGTTCTTTCCACATCAGCTCCACCTTTTTTTTTATTCATCAATTCGTGGTTCTGTCCACAGCCATTCCAGACGCCATTTTCTATCCCCAAAAAATGCTACTTTTCCCTTAAACTCCTGTTTGAAGGGGAATAGCCACTTCTCTGGAGATTGTACCATTGAGCAAAACATTGAAAATCCCCTATAACTTAATATATTTTTTCATGTGATGCTCACATTTCTTTTACTTGTATCCCTGCACTTTAGTTTTAGTTTAAGGATTTTGAATCTATTTTAGTAGCCGTTCAAGATGTAACACTAGTTTTTCATAATCAGCTTGTGCCTTTATGTCCAGAAAACACTTATGCCTTGGCAACTTTGTTGAGAGTTTAAGCAATTTTTTTTCATTTTAAAAAACTCTCTTTTTCCCATTTAAAATGTAAGAAATATTAACACGATTCTGCGAGATTATTACCACTGGGTAAGAAGCAGGAGTCAATTAAATTGGACAATGAATAACCTTTCCTGAGTCCGTGCGAGACTCGACTGAATTAATTGCTGTCCTAATTAGTAATCGGAACACCAATAAGTTACAGCACCTGGGTGAAGGTGACAAGTTTTTTGTTTTTTTCCTATTCACGATGGTTGACTGATTTTCAAGATGTTGAACAGTAATTACAATAGTTATCACTGCGTACACAAAAGCATAGCTATCACTGAATAAATAAAAAAAAAAGCCTTTGTACTGTCGGAACACATTTTTTTTTTTTTTTTTGTTTTGTACCAGAAACAAAAGATTTTTAAAAAGTCGCTGTGTAGATTGGACATCAGCCTCCGCCAACCGATGAGAAACTCAATATTGCGTGGTTAACGCCAATCTGCCTTCTTATTGAGCACTGCATTCAACCATTTCTGTAGGGGCTTCTGTGTGCAACGCTATCATTATCGCAGACCGGCTATTACATATTTCTGCCTCTCATAACAACACAGAAAGTGCTTCAGCACGTATGAGACAAAGACTCGGCTGCTTGTCTGCATTTCGATTGAAAATAAGTATTGCCAACAATTTATATTTCAGAGATTAACTGTTGCGCTGCTAGTGCGATCTCTGCGGGACATCATACTCTCTCTAGAACAAACTCAAAAATGTCTGATGTTTTTGTTATAGCCCTTGTCTGGTTTTTGTTTGTTTTTGCTTTTTGTCTGTTGTCTTTGTTTTTTTTCCACAGCCTTATATCACATTTTGTTCTCGAGGTATTCGTAGGAAAGGTGCAAAGTGTACAGAAAAGGGTTTACTCGCTAAACACCCAAATCTAGTGACATGAAAAAAAGAATTGCAGCATTGAGTCTAAAGTAGCCATGCTTTTTGCAGCTGAAGAATTTTTTTCTGTTGACCAATAAGCACAATCTTAAAGGGGCAGTCTGAGCACCATAACCACTACATGTATGGGTCCCATCCCATGATATTTCACAAACCGCTCGCTTTGCCTCCAGCTGCGTGAATAAAGCAGAATTTGCACTTTAGACGTTAACAATATCTATTCTTTTTTTTTGTGGATGGAACTGATAGCATGAGAGCAGTAGGATGGCTAACCTATCCTTAGCACTCTCAGCCAGCATCATTGCAGAGCTGAGACTACACATCCACATAATACATCCAGAAAGTCAACAATGTTTAAGTCTGATATTTTCAGGGCTCCCAATAGTTGAGATTCAGGGCAAGCATGCCTGGCTGCCTGTCAATCAAACAGGCCAGCACATTGAGGCTGTTGATGCGTATGAGCTACACTTTTGGGGACAGTTATCTGGTGTCACCAAAAGTAGGACAGCAGGGAACAAAGCCAGAACGCCGGGACAGGACATGAAAATTGGGACTGTCATGCCGAAGCTGGTATGTGGGAGACTTGTACTCCTGTCCCAATAGATCGCACACCTCTCAGTGTCAGGTGGTATGTGTTTTGGTCTAAAAATGGGCTAATCACTGAACACTAAACGTTAGCAAATTAAATCCAATGCAAAACCAAGGCTAAAATAGTCAAACTCTCACTGGTGTCTATTATTTTTCCAAAATAAGCTATTCCAGCCTCCGTTTAGGCATTAGGATTTAATTCTCATTGCACAGCGCTGCAGAATTTGATGGCGCTTTATAAATATTAAAATTACTGCTAATAAATCTATGAATACTTAGAGTTTCATTAATAACCCTGACATTAAAGAAATCTCCGGTTAAATTTCCAGGGTAACTTTTTGTAACATGTGCCTGTGGTCGACGTTAGGTCTCTCTTGTTTAGAACTCAGTTAAATGCCCTGCCTGAATGTCACTTGGGAGAGCAGTGCCTGGGACTGGTTGCTAGGCAACATATAAACAGCTCTGCAGGAAGCAGTGTGTGTGCAGTGCATGGATTCACAGCTATGGCAGCCCCACCAAACAGCAAAGCCATTGGCAATGAAAGCAGCTTTGTGGCCCAGGACAGAATCTGGTAAACTGCAGGACATTATTGCCATGTTTAGAGCCTCTGACGCAGGGATTGCAGATTGCTGGCTGAGGAGCATCAGAGTAGGAGTCCCAGGATTGACAATCAGAATAACAGCATGACTTATTTATCAAAGGACGCTTATACTCCGGGGCTGCGTTGGATCAAATTAATACTGAGGGCTGCCCTCTGTTTTACAGAATACGTCACTAAAGTGTCAATTGTTGGGAAACTAAAGATTTTCAAGGCTGAATTTTACATTTTTTGAGCAAAATAGTCAAATTGAAAGGGGATGTAATTCTGCTATGGTTTCAGTTAATCTATTTTGGTGTAAAATGTTCAATTCACATTGGATTCCCGACAATTGACACTGTAGCATCTGTAAAAGCCAGCTAACTTTAGAACTGCGTCTGGATTATGCAGCGGTAAATGTGCCGCAGTTTGACATTTGTTTAAGTAAACTAAGTCTAGGGGGATCTTAGGTTTAGGGGATGCTTCTAATTAAGGGGGGTTCAGGGTTATCTGCTTTCAAGATACTGTGCTCTGCAGCTTGTATCAATAACCCTATAGCAGGCATAGGCAACCTTCGGAACTCCAGATGTTTTGGACTACACCTCCCATGATGCTTTGCCAGCATTATAGGTGTAAAAGCATTATGGGGGATGTAGTCCACAATGTCTGGAGTGCCAAAGGTTGCCTACCCCTGCCCTATAGCTTTCATTACACTGTAGGCAGGTGTGTATTCAGGATTCCCCATCCAGTATGCTGGGACGTGTCTGTTCTAACTAATGGGGTCCCAGTAAAAATACACATTGTAACACAGCCGTTAGTGATCTAACGTATACATTTTGCTAGCAAAATAGCCATCAAATGTGTAGATTAAACGTTGATTAACAGAGTGATTACAGCAGCTCTATCACTCTCTTTAATTATTTTGCAAACAGCCCTGATGGGGACATTGTCGTGCGGTGGTCCAGTGGTGTAAGGATGGAAAGATATATTTATCAGATGCTGTTCCCCAAAGGCGACATCATCTTGTTTCCTCAGCTCCTGGCACTTGATCCGGCAGGAGCCCACATCAGTACTGTAATCTCGCGCATGCACAAGAGCACAGCACTAATGTCAATGGAGGATTTCACAAGACTGATATTGTTTCGCGATGAGCAAGACAATGCTATATTCCCATATCCATTACTAGTGACAGCTGGGGGAAGTGACAAAACTTGACAGAGTTTTGACAAACGGAAGGAAAATACTTAAAGCAAAGAGGTCCCTGCTTTGCTTTACGTATTTTAGGAGAATAAGATCAAAAAGGAAGACAGGATTAGGAATGAGGAAAAGAAAAGGAACAAATTAAATCAAGGTAAGTTTAGGGTGATAGAGCTGCCGTGTTTTTAATTTGGATTCTGTGACCTAAACATTTTTAAATTCATTTTGTTTGTCTGAATTTTGAAGTGACATAAACAAATCGATATTATTTTTAGGAAAGCCCACGTCGCGAATGAAGCAGAAACCGCTAAAAACTGGCCTGAAAGATGGGGATTCCTAACCACATCGTATAACGAGGTATTTACACAGACATTATATTCATTATTTTTCACCTTAGTGTGAATTCTCGGGAGTTTGACGTGAATTAAACATTTCGGCTAAAATATCTCAATTAGAAAAAGATTTTACAAAGTCAGTCGTTATTATTTTCATTTATATGTTTTCAATTCAGCTGTTTTGGCATCAAATTTAAAATTCAGTTTGAGTTTCTGAACATTCATATTTTAGTGAATAACTCTGTATCTCTATATTGTTTGTAACTATGTGGATGCAGATTTTACGTTAAAGGAAAACTATAATGTTAGGAATACAAAACATGTTCTAACACTATAGTGCTTGAGTGGTTGTTTAAGTGTCCGACCCTCTCAGATTGTAGTGAAAAGGTAGTTAGGTTTTTTTCTCTTTTGCAGAGCCAGTCTTGCTGCGGCTGGGCCCACCTCAATGGTTGAGATTATCAATTTTGATGATCTCAGCCAATCCAATGCTTTCCAACACAAAAGCTTTTGGAAGCCAATGGGAAAAAACGCTACACTGCGCCAATCAGAATCTCCTCATGTAAATGCAATGAATCAGTGCGTCTCTGTGGGGAATGTTCAGCGTCTCCAAGAGTTAGGAAGCACCTCTAGTGGCTGTCTTAATGATACTCGGCAGCAATGTAAGCATTTACATTGAAAAGCCTACAGGGACAGGCTGTAGACACCAGAACCACTACATTAAGATGCAATGGTATTGGTGGCTATAGTGTCCCTTTACCATTGTAACATTGACTGGTTATATGGCTTTGTAGTTTTGTCATCTGTGGAATTAAAATGCCATAATTCCCTAAATACTTTCAAGATTCCTGTGCCCCTCAAATATTTAATGGAAAATTCTTAAACTTAGACATTATGTTTGAATATTTTGTAATCTGCAGAGGCAGAGAGTCATTTGATAGAGATAAAATTCTTCTTGTTTTAGCTGGTGAATAACGAAGAAGCAGTCACGAAAGAAAAAGGGCGACTGAAAACACCAGAGCATTTGCGCGTTCGTCCTGTGACTCCATTGGAAACATATATCAAGGTTGGGGGACTGTGCGCATGCACTGATCTCTAGTGTCAATGTGACAGGAAGCAGGGGGGCAACTAATCTATTGTAATTGGCTCCTCGTGGCAAGAAGCAGAGGATATAGCTGGCCCATTATGGCATCTATCCACCCAAGTAAGCCTTGGAGTGCCGGGACCGTTCTTTGGTGACTATTAACTATTTCTTGAGCCTTGGTGCTGGCCCCTGGTTTAGTTGCACCCATGCTTTTAAATAAATAGATTGAGTGTAGTTCCATATTTAGTTTTTTAGTACATTTCCCTAATTGTTAGTGGCATTGTTACACATTGGAGATCTGTCCTGTAGGTGGCACAATCCTCTTTTCTGCTCCCTCTGGCACTCTCTATTACAGATAGCGGACACTAGGCAGTAACTCAGGACAGCTATTTCGGATGTGTGATAGTTCATTCATCTGGTCCTCCCTCCAGGTAGTTACACCAACCCCATATCTGGACTCTTTCATGGCTACGTTGAGTGGTCACTGGGCTGTAAACAGTAATTTGAGAGATTTGTTATGACTGCGACTTTGTGCTCCAGGACAGTGCTCTCAATTTTAATATTATTGGTATTCATAAAGCACCAACATTTTTAGCAGCGCTGTACAATAGGCTAACATAGAAATAAATAGTTGCAGCAAGACAAGTTGGATCCATAGTAACGAAGGTGGTGAGGCCCCTGCTCAAACAAGCTTACAGTCTACGGGGCTACATGTGCCTGCATTGTATCTACAATTTATTGACTCCACTAAATGCTAGCACCTAATTACACCATTTATTTCATCTCGCCAACATCCAGGTGGGTCCATCACCAGTTGTTCCTCAGACTACACAAGGATTAATTGGTTGGAGGTCTACCATCGCTGACTTACAGCTTGAATGCTACGGCAGATCCAGATTTGTCAAGGGCGACTTCTGCAAGCGAATGAATTGGCCCCCCGAGGGTGTCAGCTAAGCCTTTGCCTTTCTCCCATTCCCCTTCCTATTTCACCCCAGGTAACATCGAATGATGAGTAAAAACTTTGCAGAGCAGCAATAATCAGAGCTGGCGTAAATGGCAATTTTTGCATATTTTCTCTCTGTAGCAAGCCGGGAAAAAACAAATTGAAGAGTATCTGTAAATGTTAAAAATATGCGTAGCAATAAGCACTCACTACAAACACACTACCATAAAAAAACTGATTTACTGTCTTCCTTGCCTGAAGCCTGTTATTTCGCAATATTTACATTATCGCTTTAAAGGTTACTAAAACCGTGCTTTGATTGAAGTGAAGTGTCAGGCGTGTAGTTTAACACAGGAATTATAAATACGTTTTCCCCCTTATTAATACTACCAGCTTTGCTAGCACAGAAAACCCCCAAAATTGTTTATTGTTTTTTAAATTGTTTAGCTTTTTGGGGGGGTATACGTCACCCACTGCACTAAACGGTTTGTACCCAGGCACACTGTGTAACCTACTTAAACGTAGTCAATTCTTTGTGTATTTTAATATAAACAGGGATCAAAATTTCAAGTCCTACACTACGAGACAGGCCTCAAATATAATATAAACAAGGATCAAAATTTCAAGTCCTACACTACGAGACAGGCCTTCTTTTCATTAAAAGCCTTGTGGGTCTATGGCACACCCATTGCGGCGAATTATCGAGGGAAAAATGTGGAGCCCTGATATAAATACGACCTCTCGAGTTATACCAAAGCAGATACCTCTTTTTTAGGTGTTTATTAATTTTGTATTAAATCTGAAGCTCTCTTTGAATTTATATAGTATTCTCGACAACGCACACTTTAGTAAACAACAAGCATCTCTCCGAGGTTCATATATTATATATAAGTACTAATACTGTACAGCGCTACACAAAACGTTAGCGCTATATAAATCAGAATAAGCGGCTGAAATCCTATCCATCACCCAGAGGCCACATCATTAATCATCCAAAAGTTGCCAAATAAAGTTACTTCTTTTTAAAATGCTAATTATTGTGTCCTTATACTAAAGAACAGAACCATTTTGTACAGCCTCAGAGGGCTGCGTTCGATAGAAGTCGGAACAGGGGAGCAATTCAAACTGATTCCTCTCTGCTCCATTCTTTCAGATGTCTGTTTACTTTGCACACAGCGAGAAACGATTTTTGCAAGTGGCTTGTTTTTTTTGTTAACATAGATTTGCTGCATTTTGATCTGTAGAACTTGCAGACGATAAATGTATGTATTTTCTCTTCAACTTAGCAATGTATGCAGAGTCTAGAGGATATCGCTTTATTCTAACACAAATCGACAGTTCTAGGAGCATGAAAAAGAGGCAGGAGGCAAGCAATCAATAGCTTTTTGCTTTTATATATATTTATATATATATATAAATGGTTTATCTTTGGAGATTTAATTTAGAGCCGTTGGTCATTAAGAGGTTAATCCACGAATTGCAGCGAATTAACAACTGAATCGCTAAATTTTGGGGCAAAAAAAACAAAGTCAGATCATTTTCTTTGAGAAATTCTCTTATTCCGCCAATTCTGCAATTTGTACAGCTTGGCTGCCGTGATGTAGATTTTGCAGTTCGATTTTTAATTAACCACAATCAATTAATTAATATGTTCAGTGCTTTTTATTAACCTTTTCACAGTCTGTAAAATACAGGCTCATTAGTGGTTTATTCAGTAAATCTTAAATAACAGGGAATGGCCCAAAGTATTTAAAAGTTTAGACAAAAAGAGGCAAACTGGAATAATTAAACTCTGATGATTTTCAAGTTCGGCTGTTTTGGCATAAAATTTGCAGTACCCTTCCAAGTTCTCCAATGGACCCCATTATTTCTTATAACTTGCAGAACATTTTCAGTAGACAAAGGGATGCGGTGGGCATTTTCTAACCAGCTTTTACATATAGTGACAACATATACAGTGCATTATCTGATCCTGGATAAAAGGAGTTATTATAGTCCATAAAAATAACCCAGTTTATTACTCATAAATGTCATTGCACACATTGCAAAATACCAGCAAGTGCAAGGACGCATCCAGAACTTATATAAATCGGTGATAAAGTGCCCACAATATGCACAAATCACCCTGTTTGCTTAAATAAAATGCTATTTAAAAAAAGTTTGCAAATTATTATAATTTTTTTTAAAAATTTTCAATCTCTAAACTGAATATCTTTTCTTTAGTACTTACAATATTCGGTGATGGAAGATACTTTGCATCTAACGCAATTTTGAGTAAAGCATGCCTATTACATTGGTGAGAGGCTCCCATCAACCTCAGGCAGTCTAAGACATGAATGGCATGACGATGCACTGAGATTTAGTCCCTGCTAGATTATACGCAGTGGGCATCACAGTGGGCACAAGTGTTAGCTGGTAGTGAATAGTGTGGTATCTCGCTGTGCAATATGGGATTTAAAAACCCTGATCTGCCCTTTGAAATAACAATGGGGGGCATTGTCCAGAGCTTGCATGGGTGCTCTGATTTAACCATAGAGACTGGAGTTTTTTTAAACCCTCGGTGATGTCAGCTGGGTTAACCGATGCCCGCTATGAGCCTGGCTGATTATAATGATGCAGATGGATAGCGTGGCATCAAACACGTGTGGTGTACAGTATGATAAAGATCTCTTTGACTACCATGCCAGTTATTGTTAAGTATGGTTTAAAAGCCCCGTGCGTAATGTTTTGTCTATCAGGGGGATTTGTACCCCATGGCAGAAAGCCCCCTTTAAAGGTCACGGGCTTTATAGACGTTCATGGACTCTGACAAACTGTCAGACGAACCAACTCCCCCAGCATGTGCTCGAGGCCTGCAGGCTGGCTGCGACAAAAATGACCTGCTGTGGCAGACACGCATTTATATGCAGTACCCCAACCCAAATATGACAGGAGTTTGTCACGTATCTCCAGCCTGTGCCCAGCTCTCCTTCCACAAACACACACACAAATACGCTGGCGAGAAGTGAGAGACACAAGCTGTATAATGTGTTTCTTCCTCAAAGAGAAACTGCCATCTTCATCTGCGACACTCAGGATCACCTCCCTTACCCAGCATGTGCCAGACACTGGGCAGGGGGAGGAGGGGGAGCTGCAGTGCCTGCAGAGCTGCTCATGTACCCATCTCAGCATCATCCTTCCTCAACGCTGCCTCTGGGCCAGACGCCTTCCTAGAAACGGGTTCAGCCATGTTATATGCAATGCACCATTTAACAAACGCAGGCCCTTTAAGACAGATTTGGGCTTTAAATGATGCTAGAAACGTAATTCATGCAGTGGAATGGATTGCAGACAAGGTAGGCTCTGCAGAACTACAACTCCCACAAAGCTTTTCCATCCCTGGGAATTGTAATGCTGCAGCCACTAGGAATCTGCTTTTTTTGGTCACCCATACAGATATTGTTACGTTGAGTTTACTGAATGGTAATTTCAAAAAGTAATTATGTGCTCAATATATATAAATATGTTACAATCTGTCTGTAAGTGCAATCAGGAGGACAGCACTTTTTTTATTGCATATTGCACAGTGGGACATCAATCCGTCAAGCTTAGTGCAGCACTGGAACCTACGTGGCTGCCTGAGATTGATAGGAGTCACACTGCAATACTCTCCCCCTCTTGTGTTAGTCATATGTGGGGTTATGGAAAGAGAGACACACTGTGGGGTTTATTCACGAGAACAATAAATTGTGGGGGATTTAAAGGGACTCTTTAGGCATCACGACCACTTCATCTCGATGTAGTAGTCCTGGTGCAGTGGCCCTGGCATTTTAGTCCTGCGATGTAAAACGTTGACGTTTAATAGATACAGCAGTGTTTACTAAAAACACGTCTAGTGGCTGTCTCCGCTAACCTCCTCAAGTGCTTCTCAGCATTTGATTGGAGGAGCGCAGCGCTGCGCTTAATATTCTGGTACTTGCTTACAAGTCCCTACATAATGCTGCTCCAACCTACCTATCCTCACTAATACACAAATATGTCCCATCGAGGCCCCTGCGCTCTGCCATTCGTCTATGTCTACGTCTATCCTCCTTCCGTACTCCCACCTCTAACGCTCGCCTCCAGGGCTGCACCTTTTTTTATGGAACTCCCTTCCCTTCTCCGTTAGACTTCCACTCAGTCTCCACTCAAAATATCTGTGAAAACACACTTCTTCAGGAAAGCATATCAATTAAACTGTTAGCTGGTTTTCATTCCGACTCTCCCCCCCTCCATGACTCCTCTCCTGCAACTGTCAAAAATAACCTACTCTCAGTGAATACTTTTCTAGCAACCTATTTTATTTCCCCTACTTATACCCTTTGTGTCACTATCCCCACTCCCTCTAACATGTAAACTCACTGAGCAGGTCCCTCAATCTCTCTGTTACTGTGTCACTATACCCCACTCCCTCTAGCATGTAAACTCACTGAGCAGGTCCCTCAATCTCTCTGTTACTGTGTCACTATACCCCACTCCCTCTAGCATGTAAACTCACTGAGCAGGGCCCTCAATCCCTCTGTTACGGTGTCACTATACCCCACTCCCTCTAACATGTAACCTCACTGAGTAGGCCCTCAATCCCTCTGTTACTGTGTCACTATACCCCACTCCCACTAGCATGTAAACTCACTGAGCAGGGCCCTCAATCCCTCCATTACTGTGTCACTATACCCCACTCCCTCTAGCATGTAAACTCACTGAGCGGGGCCCTCAATCCCTCTGTTACTGTCACTATACCCCATTCCCTCTAACATGTAACCTCACTGAGCAGGCCCTCAATCCCTCTCTTACTGCCACTATACCCCACTCCCTCTAACATGTAAACTCACTGAGCAGGGCCCTCAATCCCTCTGTTACGGTGTCACTATACCCCACTCCCTCTAGCATGTAAACTCACTGAGCAGGGCCCTCAATCCCTCTGTTACGGTGTCACTATACCCCACTCCATCTAGCATGTAAACTCACTGAGCAGGGCCTCAATCCCTCTGTTACTGTCACTATACCCCACTCCCTCTAACATGTAAACTCACTGAGCAGGGCCCTCAATCCCTCTGTTACGGTGTCACTATAACCCCACTCCCTCTAACATGTAACCTCACTGAGCAGGCCTTCAATCCCTCTGCTACTGTGTCACTATACCCCACTCCCTATAACATGTAAACTCACTGAGCAGGGCCCTCAATCCCTCTGTTACTGTGTCACTATACCCCACTCCCCCTAGCATGTAACCTCACTGAGCA